AAATTAATATGTATATGTAAATAAAGTACAAAAAAAATTTACCTTATATATTATATTGGACACCACTGTATATTTTATATTATTACAACTACGACTGATATACTTGTAAGAAAAAATAATTGCTTTCTCTAGAAATACAATGTAATTATATTCAAATTACTTAAGCTGCAAGTTAAATATTAATTAAAATTTGTTTTGTTTAAAATGTAACAATACTTACTTTAGTATAATGCAGGGAAAAAATATTATGTTAAAATAAACTAGGTACAGGAATCAAATATTCAAAATCACCGATATTAAATATTTTGTATTTATATTATATGCTTTATGTATAGTTATTAATTATTTCATTCAATATCCATTGACAAATGATTAAATTTGGAATAAATTTATACTAAGTTTTTATAACAGTGGTTCTACATTTCTATAATGTATACATTTAGTATAATACTCGTATATACGGATTTGTATGAACTGATCCATTTTTCATATTAAAAATTGTTGAAATACAATATAAAATGTGTGATGTATTGTGGATTGTATATAAGTTTATAGTTCTGCCATATATAGCAGTTCAAAAAAAAAAAAAAAACTTTTAAATGAAGTTATGCTAAATGTTTTTATTTTTAATATTTGTTGTTGACATTTATATACAATTTAATGAAAATTAGGAGATTGAGAAATTAATCTAATTAACTGTGTATGTTATTGAATATGTCTGTCATTCCATAGAACTTTATACCATATTGTTCTATTTAACAGACTGCTGTTAAGAATAAAATTGAGAATTTTATGTTTTATACTATATTTAAATTTTAGTCTTGAATTTTTGTTTTCCATGAAATTTAAAATTGAGATATCAAAATAAATTAAATTTTTGTAATTAAACTGAATTGAAGTTAATTTAACTTCAATATTTTTATTTATTTATTTTTTTTAATCATTCTTCTTTTCCTTCGTCTCTCTCCCAATTGCTTGGGGTTGGCCATCCTTGTCCTAAACCTCCACTCATTTCGATTTCTTACAACTTCTACGCATACGCCAACAACCCTTCATATCATTCTCAATCGTAATTAACTATCTCTTTTTTGGTCTTCTTCTTCCTATTTTCCCTTCCACGTTAATTTTCATAACCACTCTTACTGCTTTTGTTTCCTCTCGTCTCATCACATGTCCAAACAATCTCAATCTATTTTCTTTCATCTTGTCCACTATCGACGCCACACCAATACTATCTCTACGTATTCATTTCTTATTCTATCTTCTTTTGTCACTCTACTCATCTATGTAAGCATTCTTATTTTTGCATCACACATTTCAATTGAATTAATTTTTTTATACATATGATGTATAAAATAAGTATTAAATGGAATTCTTAAAGATGCAATAAGTAAATTTAGCAAGGTAAATTTTATATGAGATTTTAAATAATAAATTGGCCTATTTCAATCTCATTAGTGGACTGACAAATTTTTAATGTATAATCAAGTATACATAAAGTAGTTTGAAAGTTAATAAACTTTAAGTTAATAGCAAGATTCACATATGATGACTTGTGATGGTTAAAGATTAAAAATTGAATTATATTCCTATTAATTTTACATATTTGTTATTTATATCAATAACTTTGTTTCTAGAGCGCTATAAGTGTCTATAAGATAAAACTATATAGAATTATAAGATACTGTTACTTTTAAATTTAATAAATTAACACTAAGTATTTTTTTTTATCATTTTCGTTACGTCAAGTATTAAAAAAAAAAAAAAAAAAATTATTGATAAACAAGCCTTTGCTCAAAAGTAAAATATGAAATTTTTGAAAATATTGTACGAGAAATATTATTTAAAATTGTTTAACTATTGCTCGATAATATTGAGTCGATATTATGGATAAACTTGGCACAGAATCTGTTAGCTCGGCAGGATAGTGTTGTAAATAAATGGCACTGAGCCCGCATAGACTCAACATCCATTGGAATGATTTGTTTTTAACTTTTAAATCTTGGTACCTTATTTTGCAGCAATTAGACTAAATTTATTTTTGTTACAACCCTCTTAAGTTATGCGTTAACTGTTTCACTGTGCATTCAAAGTTTTATGTCATAATCGTTTGCATAATGTTATATTTCATTAAAATTTAAAAAATAATGTATGATTTGGTAAATTAAATCACTAAAAATCAAATAAATATTTAACTATAAGTTAATATTTGGAAAAAAGAAAATTTTGATTTCACTATATTTAACGATAAAAATTTCTCGTCGGAGAATGTTGAAATAATATTGCTTTTTTTTACATGGAATCCCAGAAATAACTTACTTTATAGAAAACAATTTAAAAAACATAACCAATTAATGAATACTGAACTCACTGATCTAATTTGACAGTTTTAGCCAAATCAAAATAAACAATGAAAATAAAAAATGACATAAAGATAAAACAAATAAACGGATTTTTGATTAAATCATTTATAATATGTACCATGAAATGTTGCTTACTTTATTTCAAATAACGAAAAGTTAGTCTTTAATAGAACTTGGAACAAAATAAAACTTTTTATAATTAAATTCTTAGGAACAACCATTAACTATTAACTTCATGTGGGTAATTTTTGAAACTTCTTCTTCTGGAATGATTGTAATTTATTACAATCAAATATGTACTGATCAATTTTATTTTTCATTTTATTTTTACTTTTCATAACATAATTTTCAAATATTAATTCATTATAATTCATGTATTGTATTTTATTTAAATTACTTTTAAAAAAATATTTTATATAAAATATTTTTTGCCCTATAATATATTATATTTCATTGTTTTTGTATCAAAATAAAATTATTTAGAACCGTTTTTGTGAAAAATTGAAACCTCTTTTAACCCATAATATTTTATAGCTAAGCTAAGATTAGTAATATAAAATGATACCATACATAACTATTTACAACTTCATAATTTATCTTTTTAAACTATTATGTGATTTTGCATTAAATTGAAAGAGAAGTTCTTACTAAAAATTTCATTCAACTTTTGTTGATCAATTATAATCGTTCAACAAAACTTGACTTGTGAAAACGTGCCTTAAGATTAGAATAAAAGATTTTGATAAGACTTGATTAGGTAAGAAATTCGAAAATATTTAGTAAGATGTAATTATTATCGAAAATTGAAATTTTACAGATTTTCTAAGTTTATTGATTTTGTCGTCAAAAATTTTTTCAAATAAACCAACTCTAAAATAAATATTTTATATTAATACTTAATATCAGGCTTAACTCTTACGGGTCACATTTTACAACAATGTTTCGACCTAAAACAATGGTCGCTCATGGTCGATATCAAACACTTTTATATAAACTACTTTTTTGTGGTTGTTGTGTAACCCATGTGAGTTAAGCCTAAATTATAATATACCTAAGTTTAGAAATCTGAAACTGTATACGCAAATATTTTTAAATAGCTACATAATATATAATATATATATATATATATGCCCAAGAGAATGAAGAATATTACTAATTGTTTTATTATAAGTATTACTATCAATTTTTTAAAAACTAAATATACTTTAATTTTCCTTTTGAATTGAATATGTTTAAGATTGGTAAGTAAAAAAAAAAAATATTTAAAAAAAGTAAGTATTTTTGTTTCTTCACTTTTTATAACGACATTTTAATATTAACAAATTTAACATACACTTTCTACGTTCGAATTATTTGAACCAAAATAGTAACTTTTATTCACAGTTTACCATAATAAAATAGATATAAATCCATGTACAAATTACTATTTTTAATTTGTATTTGTAAAGACTAAAAATGTATTGTTCTAATAAAAAATATTTAATGCCTAATGCGGGCAAAACCGGCATGAGGATAAAAATATTGGAAATTGAAATAACTATTAAACATTTAAGATAATCAATAATTTTAAAAATTCTGAGTGCAACGAGTTGTGCTATACTTTTGTAGACATATAATAAAAAACAAAAATCAAATCTGTAACGTAAATAACAATTTGTCATATTAACTTAATTAGTGGGTTAAAATGTTTTTGGCTATTTACATTTTTATATCAATCGATAGTACTTATATGAAAATATTAACTTATTTAAACTGTACCCAATCAAGTACCTATAGTAAAAATTTTTAAAAATTACTTAGCAATATTAATTAATTTAAAATAATAAAATAAAAACAATACCAATCTTTGTGATATTCTATTACACATTCACATTTCATATTTTGAAATATACATTCATGTCTTACAGAATGTGTAATATTGATTAAGAATATAACATACTGTACATGGTATATTCTATAAAATTCTAAAATCATCTATGTAGGGCATTGATTAATATCCTAATAATTCATATTCACATTAGCCTTACGAGAATAATATGAACATATGTCAACAAAATATAATAATTAAGTCAAAAATATTTCAATATATATAATTCAAATATATTGCTATGTTTAGGAATGTTATAGTATATTATATGACAGTAGTAAGCTACAATAAAAATAAATACAGTTAATCAGAAGTGAAGTTTTTTACCTAATCCAAATTTAGATTATTTTAGTTTATACAAAATTTGTAAAATGTTAAGATACATATTTAAATCGGTAAATTTAAGCAACGAATCTATTCATTGAAATCTATGAGTAATAAATTACTTCATAACTTTGAGGGTTTCAAACCGAAAAAGCATTCGGATAATAATGTAATATCTAACTATGTTTAATAGCCAATTAATTTTCATAAGTAACAATATGTCATCTAAATCTCACTCATAGGAGTGAACAGTGAATGTAATTTATCTTGAGAATTACGTGTAGTTAGAAATTTAATAATTAAAGATCAATATATTATATCATACAACTTTAAATCTTTTTCTTTTATTTTTTTATTATATTTTATTTTTTTTTTTAGTTTATAATAAGTCATTATAAGTTAATATTGAATACATATTTGAAATATCAAAAGAAAATATTACTCACTGTAAAAATCCGATTTTTGAAGGATATAATGAGATTCGATGGCACTTCTTCCAATGCACACGATTTCAAAATTGGCTGAAATCTTCCATCACCATTCACTTCTGAAAAAGTAAATAACATTGATTAGACAGTGTTATTATTATTATTATTAGTTATTATTTTTGATTGAGAAAAATATTAATATCCAAAATATCAATTAAATGCAATTTTCCGTTAGCTTCGCAAAATGACGTATATTCTAGTTTTCATCGGTATTCGTAATATTACCGTAACATATATGTTATATACATACATACATTATTTTATACACTACTCGCAAATGTTCACGAATTTTATTTTTACTCATATCAAATTATAATTTTGATGTGGCAAAATTTAAATTTATAATCTCCTTCTCTCTTAGACTTACTAACTTTTACCATAATATTTCGAAACAAATAGTTATAAAAAAAATAGTAATATTAACAATTTATAACTATAATTTATTATTTATACACAGTAAACGTGTCGACCTAAGACCGATGTAATTTTACTTTCGTGTCACAGATAAAATAGCGACACAATATCCATTAACCAATTAACAATTGAACAACTCAAAACGGAACCAACAGGTAATTTACGAGAACTTGCTACTGGTTAATGATAAAATAATAAACAGTTTATTATTAAATATTTTTATAAACTCAGAATTTACCACTCAATAAATCATAAAAATCGTTCTCAACTATTCTCCATGCTCACAAGTCATAGATAAGCATTACTATTTCTACCACCAACTCGTTTTTTGTTTATAATCGTTTAAAAAAAGATTCAAATACATTTTTTAACATAATGTTACCTATCGTAACGGATTTTACCATACACCACCAATATTCGTAAAAGAAATAATTTTTTTTCCAATTACAAGAACCCCATCGCCAACTCATTTGTGGGTTTTATTTTTTCATTTTACGGTACAAATTGCATAGAACCATTCGTTAAATTACAAAAACTGCATTGTCTATGAGAAATTATAGCAGCATTGCAGCCACTGGCCCAACTCAATTCGTAATAACGATCAGTGACGACATACGCAATATTCCGATCTGCATGTGCCATCCATCAATCAAAATATTCAATTTATAATGGTTTTAGAATTTACCTTTCAACGAAGTTATTTACAGGCAAAAACAGTAGCTGTATTACAGATAATTCACCGTCAATCTCTGATAATACCTAACACGCACATACAAACCCACACGTGTGAAAAAATAGATGCTGTCTTGTCTAAGTTTAGATAACATACATCATCAAATCTATAACAGTGTGTGTTCGCGAAACGTTGTTCTAGAATTTTCGATACAATTCGATAGCCGACTCCTTTCCCTTTACTTTATCTTAATTCGTGTCATAAACATTGACCGATAACAGAAATGGTGACGTCGCAAGAGCCAGTTTTCTTTTAAGGGCAATTATCGTCCGTTTAGTCGTCCGAAAGGGTGTGCGTCGAACGCGAGTGACGCTTCGGTCGTGTGTTTAGTCGTACGAATGTGTTTCGACGAAAACTCTGTTCCCTGGTATATGCCCAGATACGTGTGTTGAAGCTAGCCGATTTCTCCCCCTTTTGAAAATATCTATCGGACCTAGATTCGTTGCAAGTGCATTGGGCACGGTCGCGTGGGTGCGACCAAACGAACTCCAGGCCGATCCAGGTACGGACGCGAACACATAGTGACGCTCGACGTCGGCCATTATTTATATTATTATACTGTGTGCCATATTTATTATTATTATCATTGTTCCTATTATAATTTGTATTATTTATCGTGGGGCGCCCCGTTTAATGTGTATATTAACGTAATCATAATATCTTGATTGTATATCAGTATTTTATGAATTTAATCTTGTTAATTCCTTACATACTTATATTTTGTCGTTACGGCGAAACAGTGTGATTTTTAATTTCTCTCAACATTCGTTTTTTAAGTTGAACATAATGTCTAATAATTAATACGACAGTTATTATGTTGGGTTAATCCTTATTTTCCACAAATAATTCAATTATTTACAGTTAACGTTTACAGAGCTTTGTTTACAGTTTACAGTTTAATTTTTTACAAATTAGAATATATTACAATTGTACGTTACAAAGTCAAGTGACGTTATTAATATTGTTTTGTAGCTGTGGATCCGTGTGTCAGATAGTATGATTATTTAATAAACTTAACATTTAATCACAGTTGAATAAATTGTAATCATGGGTCACCACAATTTGAGCTTTTGAAGGACATTTAAATACACGAGGGTCCGACAAAAACCAGTGGACGTTTTTGTAACCCACCATTAGTATTTGATAATAAAACAAAATTCTTTGTTATCTTGCATTACAGTCCGAACACATTATTACAAACACGTGCAGATCAATGACCCGAATAATAATAATAGTATAAAGGAACAATTGAGTTGTTTTTTAATTTTTTCGAAAAATTATTCGTGCAAATATTAACTGTTGAAAAGTTAAGTTATAGCGCGCTAGGATATTAAAATAAACTACACTGTTGTTTACACATGTACACGGGTTGAAAACGTAATAAAATAGGTCGGAAAGGGTTCGCGGTCGAAACAATATTATTGTTCGCCGAACAAAAAAGTAATCCGTTCACGAGTAATAGAGTAATAAAATAATTCTTTACCATCGCGCATCCCCGTAAACGGAAAACGCGATTAGCGTTGTTCACGTGTGAATGTATAATATTTTCGACGCGATGAAATCGTTCGCAGAGCAAAACGCTTCGTTTCGAAACGGACTATTGTATAAAACCTACAAAGTAGATACGAGTGCAGTGCCATTGAACTGGTGAAACAAATGCGGTGCACGATAGAATATATTGTGACGATTGTCGTACGGGTCGACGGAGGCGGCGGTGGCCCGACAGCAACACACCGTATGATATGATTTATCGGTTGATGTTTTATTATTTCCCGAAAACCCATTACTCGTTCGCTGGACGAAAAACCCTTGGTCGGAATGTTGGGGGGAGTATAAACGGGGGACCACGTGATTGTTGACTTTCGCCCCGTGAGGAGGTTATTATTGTTGTCACAGACGAATCGGTAACGTTTTCCGCATGGTTCCAATTACTCCCCCCCAAGCATTTCGACGCGACCGCACCGTCAAAAGCAACGGATAAGATAATTAATAATTTATCTAGATAAAGGTAAAGATAGTCGAACTACATTTCATCTAGATAAAGATAAAAATTAGTATATTTCTATCTAGATAAATATGAGATCATTTCGTGTTTAACTTTGAAAATATTCAGGATTCTACAGCCTACAGGTATTTGGTAAAACAAAGTACATAATCAAAAACATTTTAAAATAAATGTCATTTTTTTAAACTCATTTCAAACATGAATAAACATAAAACATAAAAATTATTTTTTTTTTGAATAATAGATATACGGTGTACAGAAAAATGAAAATATAAAAATATTTTAAATTTAATTTTTTTTTTTTATCCATTTAAATAAATCATCTAGACAGGTACTCATAGATAACTAACATTTTATCTAGATAAGATAAAATATAAATAATCTTTATCTAGATATTTCCCAAAATTGGCCATGTCGCTGGACAAAGTGAAAACGATATTCTCTTCCAGTACGAAACGCAGACACACCTCGGAAACGGCCCGATAAATCCCGGAAGGCTGTCAATGGTTTTGCATTCGAATAGCCCGGACAGATGAGGTTTTGTCATCGGCCCATAAAGACGTCCTGACTTCGGCTGGCGCCCTTCACTGGTCGTGAACGAACACTCCCCATCGCATCCGCATCATCCGTATTACGTTTTCGAAGGACGATCGTGCGCGCGCTCATTACGGCCGATAAGTCCTCGTAATCTAGTAAGTCGGTTACTCTCGAGCGCAGCCAAATGCTTGCTCGTCCTTAGACGCGTTAGACTTTTGCGGTTTTTTTTTCATCTGATCTACGTATCCTGAAGTACGTATCGTCGGGGTAATTGACAACCGCCAGCTGTCTGGCGTTCTGAAACAAATCGAGGAGTAATTTAACGTTTTCACATCTGTTGACCTGCAAAGTTCCTATAACGCTTTTGCGACATACATGCTTTGCTTTTCGTTTATTCCTCGCAACTCTTGGAAGGTTTTTAAAAATACTTCGACGTACTGGATACAGTGCTTAACAACCTCAGAACCTCGGGTCGCGTTTCGATCCAATTCTACCCATGGGAAATAACTTCAGATCCATTTATTATAAGTTATGGATACCCGGCATTGGCAACTTGAATATCAGTTTTCTACGTATTCTATTAGTGTACTAGTTTGTTTAATAACAAATGTTTAGGTTATTAAACAAGTCATATTAATATCTTCTCGTGTCGTTAGTGTAATATTCAAAAATATTTATGTATTAAAATGTTTAAGTTGGAAAAATTATTTTTAAGTGATCAAAATAGTGCTTTTACAACTTTATCGTTGTACGTCTTTGAACAGTAGATTAAATTTATTCTCCAATATAATTCACAAGTAATTAAATCAAAAAATTATGGAAAAAATTGATCAAAGGTTTAGATACAGTAAAGATTTTGTCACTGTTTTTAATCATTTCTTTAAAATTATATTTTCAAAATATAATATTTAATCTGATTACAATTATATATTTATGCTTTATTCTCTTCTTAAACATTTTTGTATTCGTTTTAAATGATGTAGTATTATAGTCGAAGTTGATATTATTTTATATATTTATCTATTTCTGATACAATGCACTATTTTTAAAATGTTGTCAGTATTCTATTCTAACAGAAATTTTTTGATTTGTAATTTACAAATATAACTACATTAAAAACTATGATAATTATATATGTAAATATAATATACTTAGTACCTTTATCAAGGATGATTTACTTGAATTCACGCTATCAGTTAAATAGGCAGATAAATATTTTATATATATCGAAAAAATAAAGAATATCTATCAATACAGACTCTTAATGTTTTAATATTGATATTTTTTAGTTTTGTAGATAATACGGCAATAGTTCTCAAAGATCGATGATCAATTATGATTTATACAAATTAATCGAAGTATAATTAATA